AAAAAATTAAACAAAAAAGAAATGATGAAAAAAAAAAGTTTTCCTCTCTAGACGCGAACGCGGCACCTTACGATTACGAAACTGAATCGTTGTCAACGCGCCCAATGCATGTTCTTCATACATGATGTTCCATAGCTGGTGAAAGTCGGCAGCCTCACTTGTTGCGATACGGCCTCTCATGAAGATGTAAGAGAAAAATTGACAGCAATGGAAAAAAATCTCGTTTCCGCTTAACGCTTTTGCATTTCTAACATAGATACATTTCTCCATTTCATTTTTTGTTTTAACGTGCCGTGGTCTGATTAAAAAAAAATTTGTTAACGCTCGCACGTATGGCAGGCTGTTTCACTTTTTGATAGTTTAAATATTATTCAGCCGAATAGAAAAGTAGTAAAAAATGTCCCAAAAAATGGCACTTTTTAATATCGGGTAAAAAAAATGAGAAGCGTAAAAAACCCACATATTTTATACATATGTATGGTGAGATGAGACAAATAGTATATCTGCTTAGAAATTTTTAGTTTTATACATTTTTGAGTAGCCTGATTCAATTTAGTCAATTTTTTTATTCATGCCTACGGAAAGATAATTTTATTTTTAATATTTCGAACTATCAGTATGTTCTACCTCGACATAATTGTCTGATAAGTCGATGTATTAAAAATGTTGTCTTTCCGTAGCCATGAATGATAATAATTAAATGACAAAAAATCCCTAACCAGATACATTATTTGTTTCATTTCACCATAGAAAATAATTGGTTCATTTTTATATGCTCATCATTTTATGCCCGAGATTTATAATTGCAATTTTGTTTTTGGTATTTTTTCGTAATGCCTTCTTTATCCGTCTAAATATTATTTGTGCTATTAAAAAAGGAAACAGCGTACCATAAGTGTTTGTCACAGGTAGACTCTCGGGAAGAAGAAACGTTCGCTGGTTCATGTACCCATTTATTGGATGTATACGATGTAATATATTACAATATTTGTAGATTAATATTATCATGTATTTCATGAAACTTCAGTTAATTAGGTAAACCAATAAGCATAGTTGATAATTAAAAGAAAAGATAGGTAAGACGTCAGTTTCGAACCCGAGACTCTCCGACGTTAACTTAGCAGCAAGCACGTGTGCCATCGAGTCATTGTGGTATATTATTTAGCAAACTTATATTCCTGTAGTTACCCACGTTCGAGAGTTTTTTTTAAGTTTTATTTGCTTACTCTATTATTTCCAGAGCTTCATATGGATATTAAGGGTATTGACTACCTTATTACTACGGTTTATGTAATATCCTGTAAAAAAAAA